CCCCGCCCCGCCCCGGTCAAACAGACCCGCCGGACGGGACCGGACGAAGCCCCCCGCGGCGCGGCCGAACAGATGGCAGCACAGCCCATTAGTCAGCCTAATTAAGATATGCGCCGGAGTTAGGATTGTTTAAATCGCCCGGTCCGCACCGCGCCCGGCCGCCACAGGATGGGCGGAGCGCGGTGGGAACTCCATCTCGCACCGTCCACCTCCTTGGGGCACGGCCGAGCCGAGGGGTGGCGGTACCCCCTTCTTACAGTGTTTGCAGGTGCTTCCCCCCCCCCCCCCTCCACCCCCTGCCCACTCGCTATGGGACCCGGGGGCCTTGACGAAGTCGGCCTGGAACCTGGACCTGGAACGTCTTTAAATACAGGGTGTTCGATTTGAGACGGGAAGTTTGCGCCATAACTTTAAATCTAAGACCTCCGCTACGTGTGGCTCGGCTGATTTGGTGAGATTGGCTCATCATGCCCAGATCTCGGACAGTAGTCCGTAGCAGAGAGATATGAATTCAAACTAGAGGCGCAAAATTCCCACCTTTAATGTGACACAATGTATACACCACAGCAAACGGACTAACTGCGGCGACGAACCCGCGGTCCAGCACAAGGGAGGCTTGTTTTTCCGACCCAGCCGGCCGTCGCCACCACCGCCAGTTTTTGTCCAGTGACCACAGCTAGATCGCCACGAGTCGGCCACAAGGCAGACGCCGCCCAAACCAACCAGGGCCGACCGCCTTTTTTTGAGCACCGGTATCTGTATCTCTTTAATGCCGCTATGATTGTGTGCAATTCAAACTCGGCGCGTCTGTTTTTCCTCGCGCCGCCGCCGCTGCCGCCGCCGGCTGATTGGCCGGGTCGCTCAGAGGTGTTAATTGGCGCCATCGATTGCTCGGCCATACATTACGACAGCCTCGGGGGCTGGAGCAGCTCGTCGAGCAGCTCGTCGAGCAGGCCGAGCGATTAACCATCCTGGACGAGCTGCGCGGAGCTTCGCAACCGAAAGGCGCCGCGGAGTTGAAAAATCAAAGAGAGAGAGAGATACAAGGCAAAAAAAAAGGAAAGAAAGGCGCAAAGTCTTTGCTCCGATCTGAGTTTCTAGGAAAATGTGGATCAAGAGCGTGCGCCTCTTATCAGGAGAGAAATGTACAAGATTGCGGCGTGCTGCTCGGCGGCGGCGTCCAGGACCACCGCCGCCGAACCACTTGAATATTAATTGAACGTGCCTCGCATATTTTTCGGCGGCGACGAGAGCGGTGATTCATGACAACGATGACAAGGCAGGGGCACCGCACCGCACCGCACCGCGCTCTCAAGGTGCTCATCAGGAAGGCTCGGCGGGCTGGGCTCGGCCCGGCCGCCCGGCCCGGCCGCCCGGCCCGGCCGGGAAGCTTGGTGGAGGGGCCATCACGTTGCTGGGACCATGGCTTGTCCGTTTGAAGGTGTGAAAACACACACTCATAACCCTTGTGAGTATATGTGCGCGACGTGTGTGTGTGTGTGTGCGCGCGCGCGTGTTTGTGAGTGTGTTGAAGGAGTGAGGGCATGGTCAGGGACTCACCTGCTTGCGGCCCTTTCAGAGGACCTCATGTCTGCGAGGCCCCCCCCCCCACACACAATTCCCCTGAATCGCTCCGAGTCGGCTGCTGAAGGCCAGCCTTGTAGCCCCTGCAAACTGTTGGATAGGCCACCATCTTCTCGGGCGTGTCCTGCGTGGTCTGTGATTGCCTAACCATCAGGCGCCTCAACCACAACTTCCTATTTAGGAAGAAGCATTCGCGAATTACGATACATTTTAGAGTACTTCTCTAAATGGATCTACGTTTCCTGGTACGGCTTCGCTTTTATCCTTTAAAAACACTCAGCTATACTGTACGGGCATATAAACACGATGAGAAAAACCCGACTTCTTTCTCCAATTGTTTCACATCAATAAACTGGCATTAAGGCGATAGGAGAGTCACACCTGTATCGCTATGGCGTGGTATGGCTCTGACGCGGTATGCCAATTTAATTAAAATGTTTGTGTGTTGTATCAACTCGACGCGCGTATCGAATTGCCTGCCAGTGGGCCGGCGAGCCCGCCCCGCCCAGCCTCGCGCTACACGTGGAGGAACACGGTATCGCGACTGGCGCCACCGGCGAGGCCCACGGCGAACACAGCGATCTGCGTTCCTGTCCGCCAAGGTCAAGGTGGTCCTCATCATCTCCCTTCTCCGAACTGGATGGCGTGGCATGGTGCGGCAAGGCGTCGTGGCCTCCGAGCGAGTACACCGAGCCAAACCCGCAAAGGACCCGGTAGCTTGCGCCAAAGAACCGCGAGGGACCCAAAGCCTCGCCAAAACCACCACAGCCTCCGAGATCTTCTCAAACATCATCTTTCAAGACAGATTGAGTGCTGTGTGACCCTGGTAGGTTCACAATGTTGAGTCATTTATTGGATGTTAACCGTTAACCGCACCGCACTCGGAGGCGTGTTAACGACTATGTACTTCAACTGGTGACATAATATACACATTTTCCCTCGTCACAGTGACACGCTACTCACTTGACTCCTCGGTTCGGTCGGCTCGCCCGGCTCTCCAACTCCATCCCGTCGAGCCCATCCCACCCCGCAACGCCACCCCGCGCCGGCGGCCACATTTGATTGACACGATTCATTTCCGGGGCGGAGGGTGTAGGATGAGGGGGAGGGGGAGGGTGGCGGCCTAAATGAATGGGAATATGAGCTGCTCGACTCCACTCGCTTGAGTCGAGGACGCGATTCCGCGAAAAATCTGTGCGCTAAACAGGACACGAGGAAGAGGGAGGGGGGGGGGGCTAGAGAGATCACTCGCGAAATAAAAGATAAAATAATTGCCGGCGGTCGCGGGGGGCGGCGGCGGCCTGGCTGGCGGAGCCCGGCATATAAACAGGAAATGTTGAGCCGGGTGAGGAATGCGAGAGACGCGAACACTGCTGATTGAGGGGGGTAAAAGGGGGGGGGGGCGAAGGACGTCCATCCGGCGCGGCGACGCGCTCACCGGGAAAGTCGCGCGCAAATCAAGAAAGAAAGGCAACGCATCCCGCACGGTCGCGTCGCGTGAGTGCGTGCCTCTGCGTGCGTGCGTGCGT